AGTGGGGGGGGGGGGGTGTAAGTTAATATCGTACACCCGGGGTGTAAGTTAAGGAGACCCTTTTCCAAATATATTTACATGCTTAAATAAATCGACTTACAAAGTGGGTTTTGAGAAAAGTATCAGCGTGATGTTATTAAAACATGTATGCAGACTACAAAGTTTTACCGGTCGTTAATTTCAAATTTCGAAAATTTTATCGTCGAATGTAATTTTCATATTCTTTGCCTTATCATGTTATCTTTCCAAACCTTAAAAATTATCTTAGACGCAACCTCTTTTAAAAAACATGTCTCTGATAGCAAGAATATTTAGGATGTGGAAGACTGAAGCAATCTTTTTGCGTAGCAATAAGTCTAGACGTTGCGTCTGGCGCCGTCAGGTATTCAAAAAGTATTGGTAAACGAGGATAACCGTTTCTTGTCGTAACTGATTAGAAACTTTGCTCTATTTTTATCCAGGTCTTCCATGAGTAGAGATAGTAATAATAGATAGACGAGAAACTGTCCTGCATAATGCCCACTTATAAAGTTAAAATTATCTTCACTAAGACTAATGTAAGAACAAATGTACAAGATAACCGAGTTAATATGACAGAATTCCGAAACTTTGAAACTTTAAACTGTTGTCGTGGATTGTTTTACTGTATACTTGAAGTAAAGCTACGAAGATGACCGCTGAGCATATGCCTAAATCCTAGTATAACCATACCGTTAATCGAGATTTGATAGTCAACCCTTGCTATAGGCGTTTAGTTCCTTATCGTTATAATTTGTGCTGATATAAATTGTTTATGACTGGCCAATGAGCAACGAATGATGTGTACATGCGCGGCGGTAATTTGTGCTGTAATCTTTATTGCGAGATCTATCTTAATATCTAATATGCATTATTAGGTTTACGAGAAAAATTATCAATCTTGCTTTGAACAAGTAGCATTGCTTTGTCGTAATATATGAAGCCAAATAAGGAGACATAAATTGGGTACCGCGGAATCTTTGGTTACACTGTTCGCTTTATCTCGCTCAGATTATACCCATTATGTTTTTGTTATCTGATTACTGCTCAAAAAAATAAAGACATCCTTATAAACGTTATTGTTACTATTGGCTTATAAAACAAATTTCTCTTAGTAACTAAGTTTTAACAGTTTGATACATTTTCTCTTACAACTCGTGTAAATCAAATTTTCAAATGCGTAAGTATAAATGTAAGCATTTGGCTCAACTTTGGTGCTTTTCAGAACATGCAATGCAATGCCTTCAATCACACGCCCTGAGGCGTTCATAGTAATAACGCCAGAAAAATAACAATGAAATGTATGTTGTACGTCGCGCATTTAAAAAAAAACGCCCAGAACTTGAAGGTTTTTTTATTTAGCCGTTTTAATCTGTGTGTACTATACTAATTAGGAATTTGGCTAAAGCATAAGATGCTACAAAAACAGAGATATGATAGTGAGCACAAATACGTCTGGCTGTACAATCGAGAATGTACAATGTTCCAAGGATGGTAGCACCGAAATCGTATTTTTGTAGTAATGGAAATGCGTTAAACAAAAAAAAGAAGCATTTGTGATCGCACATTGAACAATGATAATATCGAGCATTTTGTAGTAGCCACATTGTTTCAAACCAAATAAATGGTTTGATACTAAGCATAAGCATCTGATAAAGACAAAGAAATCTCATCAAATAATACTTTTGGAAGTCGCAATACATGTTTACAATTGATCTGTTGGCTTTCGCTTATCATCTATATACAAAAAGACTGGCCAATATTTGATGCGTACCGATTGACTTAATGAAAAGCTATATAGAATATTACTGCTAGGCGAAATATTAAATAATTTAAATGTAATCTTTAATTCTTAACCTCCGTATCCCACTTTACGTATCAATAACTTTCTAGTTGTAATTCATTGTATATGCCAATTCATCGTCGGAGTAAGTTTGGCCAAATTTATTTTTATTGTAAAGATGCCTATTAATCTGTTTCTATCATTCATGTAACACGACATCTTATCAGCAGAATTGTAGGCAAGTCTCAGCTTTTCTCACGCGTCCTGAATGAACACCTTTCCGTACGACAATAAACTTGGACAACAAGTACGCCCTGGGTATAAATACGATGTGATTGCGAATTTTAAAATCACCCCTACAACATGGCCGTCAGGAAAAAGTTTATAAATCAATTCATTATTTTATTTATTCTCATTGTTTATTTGCCCGGTCTAATATCTGCATCGCCGCAGTAAGTTTTTTGTCTTGTTAAAAAATTCTTCCTTTTTTTATACTGCTATAATTAAATTAACAATCCACAAAATTTACAGAGCATGTGACCCCAGTGATCCGTGTTGTGGAAGCGCTGACCCGTGTTGTGGAAGCGCTGACCCGTGCTGTGGAAGCACTGACCCGTGCTGTGGAAGTAATGATCCTTGCTGTGGAAGCACTGACCCGTGCTGTGGAAGTAATGATCCTTGCTGTGGAAGTAATGATCCGTGCTGTGGAGACCCATGCTGTGGAGATCCGTGCTGTAATAACCCTGATCCTTGTTGTGGAAGCGCTGATCCGTGCTGTAATAGTCCTGACCCTTGTTGTAATGATCCGTGCTGTGGAGACCCGTGCTGTGGAGATCCCTGCTGTAATAGTACCGACCCTTGTTGTGGAAGTAATGATCCATGCTGTGGAGATCCGTGCTGTAATAGTACCGACCCTTGTTGTGGAAGTAATGATCCATGCTGTGGAGATCCGTGCTGTAATAACCCTGATCCTTGTTGTGGAAGCGCTGACCCTTGTTGTGGAAACCCTGATCCATGCTGTGGAAACGCTGACCCGTGCTGTGGAAGCACCGATCCGTGTTGTGGAAGCACCGATCCGTGCTGTGGAAACGCTGACCCGTGCTGTGGAAGCAGCGATCCATGCTGTGGAAGCACTGATCCGTCCTGTGGCACTTCAACTGCTCCAACTCCCCCTCCAACTCCCCCTCCAACTTCCCCTCCAATTCCCCCTCCAACTCCCCCTCCAACTCCAACAACTTCAACTCTTAAACCTAGTTCTACTCCTTCCAAACCTAATTCTACTCCTTCCAAACCTACTACCCCTTCTTCCACTCCTTCCACTCCTTCCACTCCTTCCACTCCTTCCACTTCTTCCACTCCTGCCGAAACTCCTACATTTTCTACTGGCACTAACGCAAAAATGGGGGTATGGGAGAAAATTTTGACCATATTTGTCTCAGTAATTATCGGCATCCATTAGTAATAGATTTAGGATAACTAATTCGTTTATCGATTTCGATTGTGATCGTTTGATGTCAGTGTATGTGTTTCTTTTCCTTGCTGTTCACTCACCCACTATATGAATATTAAATCAATAAAATTGGATTATATTATTAAACAAACAATAGTTTCGTAACGCGGCGTCTCGTATATTACGTCACCGATGTGTCAAAATTAATCAATTCAGCGATGTCGTATAATCTAATTTATTTGGAGGGTAAATTAGCATAAACAAATAACAGACAAAAAACCTCTTATTCCAAGAAACGCTTGAGAACGTATCTTGTTCAGCTGATATGATAGTAGAAGACTAACTTGCAATGGTTCCTCTGTGACACGATTTAGTAGCATTATGTCATTTGTTGCAAAACCCGAGACTTCAGTTAAAGTGAAATAGTTAAGTACAATTGATGGTATTTCTTTTTACAACATACATATGTTGATGAGGGCCACTCAGCGCATAATACAATTTTCATCGCACATAGTGTCAACCTGATGTGTGCGTCTTCTTTGACAAGCCATGGCTCACGTTTATTATTACGTCTATCTAATTATAATACGTTATGTTCCAACGATATGCGGCCGCGAAATCTCTCAGCTGATCTCATCAGTAACACGGATTGGTCATTTTCCCACATTAGCTAAACCACCAAATAAACCTCGTTGTACCATGGTACTATACCGCATTATGATAGGAGTATGTAAATCGTTATGTGACCCCGGCCACCTTTATTGATAGAGTAAGCTTAAATGATAATAGCGTTGGTAAGAGTGACGCGTTTGGTATAATACTTTATTGGCTGTAACGTACTTAAAAAATTTGCATCTATAAAGTTTGCAACATCTTGCTTGACATTAGCATTGGGCAATCTGACAAGGAGAATGTTATTTTTGTAGATTGGAAGCGATGATCATGAAGTGATATAATAATAATAAGCATGTTTAATAAAAACGCTGTACCATGATATTTTACAGTGCCCATATTAAAATTTTGTGTAATTCGATATAACGGATAAAAGTGTAAAAGAGATTATATTGCATATTCTACTGCACATTTTTTATGAAAAAAAACAACAACAACAACTAGAGTCAGTGGTTAAAAAAATCGTGTTTTTGTGATAAAATGATTGTTAATCTCTAAGCTATGACGAGGTTAACGTTTCGGTCATTGGTTCACTAGTATTGACTGGCATCGTAGTCAGAGAATGTAATAACAATTCATCATAGGATAAGTCTTAATTGTTGGCGTTTTAACATGTAACATGTATATATCTTACTTTATAATGATAAGTTGCTGAATCGATTTATTATATAAAACTTACGTTCATGAGCGATATACTGTAGATTACATCGATCGTATGATAACCCATTTTAACTCTATCTCTCGTGAGGTGTAATCGCCATATCAAAGCTGTTCTGATGTAATATGGGTCAGCTCGATACGGAAGTGGGTTAAATTTCAAAGTGGGTTAGAACATGCTGTATCGTCCGTTGCAAGGAATCGACCGTACGATAAATGCCTTTGTTGAAATTTAACAATTTTGATATGCTGCATAATCGATTTATACGTACGATTGATAAATTAATAAATTTTATATACTGCATCATACAGATTACGAGTATTGATCGTATGATGGATGGAATTGTTGAAGAATCAACAATTTTGATATACTGCATAATCGATTATGAAGCATATCATATGAGTACAAGAAAATATCGATCGCAATGTAGAATGCACCAGAAAAAAAAGCTGGGTAGGAGAGGTGGAAGGGTAGTTCAATCATTTGTGTAGATAATGTAGTTAGACTGCGAATTTCAAGAGCTGACATAGCACGGCTTGGCAGAAGTTTTTGCCATGCAAGGTGTTAGAAATTGTAAGAGATTATCTATATATATAGACTTGGGTGTACAGTACTTTAGGTACGTTGGATATATGCTATCAAGCAGCTGACCTTGAGTTAACGTTAGCAGACTTTCATGAGTTAAACTGGATGATATACCAGATACAACTGTCTCACTAACTGAAGTGGCACTAGTTAATAGTAAAGAATCAAGAGCATGTAATTGTCAATCGGACTGTTCAACGAGAAGGTGTTTATGTAAAAGAGCGAATAGTATCTGTAGTCAACTTGTAAATTTTTAGCTCGATTGGATATCTAGCAAAATTTCCAAACATCAAATATTTTATTTCTATACCTATGCGCAATTTTGACTATATAAATTCAAACTCATATCCCAACCAAATTTTGTATCTTCTTTTTTTATTTGCTCTTCTGCATTATCAGAATGCATCCACATAATTATTGACCAAATTACTGTGTGATTTACTATAGAGTTCAATGATCGTGCGATATGATGAATGATATCAAATATTATTATAGTAACGATTTTTTTTATTTAAACCAAATATTTAAGGAACAGATAGACACGAATTCGACAAACAAAACAGAAATAATTTTATGCAGATCGATTAGAAAAACGTGACGATATAAAATTAGACTGACTAGGTTTTATTAGTGCTGAGGTGCTGAGGTGCTGAGATGCTGAGATGCTGAGGTACTGAGATACCGGGTTGAAAAGATCTTGTTACCATATATAGAATGATCAACATTAAATAATACTGTATATGGTAATGAATTGCATCTCACATCGCAGGTTCTCAGGTTCTCAGGTGCTCTACTGCTCTACTGCTCTACTACTCTACTGCTCAGGTTCGCAGTTTTTGTCACTTTTGTACCTGGGGTACACC